CATGTTGACATCCTTATTCTAAACCATGTGACTGAAGGAGGAAGCGAGAATTTGTGAAATTTTTTTGCATAAAATGTTCTCAATTTCAGGACTTTACTCCAATGATGTGGCAGTAGTAATATTTTAGAAAGATGTTTTAAAATCAAGCTGCATCAAGTGAAAAAGGCATGAAAATGAAAAGAGAATTACTTTTGTTTGTATAAATTAAATTGTATATTTGATATGAAAAAAAATTGAGAAAAATGATTTAACTAATTAAATTATATTGGGATTTTTACTAAAAAAGAACTGTATTGGAGAGTTTGAATTAACTATTTAAAATGAAGTAAAAGTTAATAATTAATAATAATTATTATTTATAATTTAAAATATTTAATTTATTTAATTACCACCAAACAACTATTTACAAATGCCAAAAAAAATATCTCTAGTGTTTTTAAATATTTTATTTTAATTAATTAAAAATTTCATTTATCATTTTCTTTCTCTTCTGTTTTCCAGACACCAAACATTGTCAAAATCGAACAGAAAATTGAGGACTGGACCCTCCCAGAGCGTGAAGAAAGGCCCGAAGATAAAAGCGCGGCAGCTGACCAAATCTACACTCAGCCTTTCGACTCCTGATTGTATAGAATCACTCTCCCATTAAGTGGCCAAAGATATTTTTCGCTCTCTCTACAACATACGACGCTTTTCGGTAGTCATAATGATGCTACACCGTCCTTTTCAATTCGTCCCCTTAAGTCAAACCCGCTCCTTTTCTGTCAACAGGCTTTCTTTTGTTACTCCATGATCTCCACCGTGCCTCCCCCCACACTGATGTGTTTATGCATTGGTGATCTTCACTCTGTTCTCACTTTTGACAGTTTTAATGGCGATTTCTCCGTGTTCTCCTTCCGGTCTCTGTTCGATGAACCGTTTTATTTGTGTAACTTCTGTTCCCTTCTCTATTTTTCATTGTGTTGATTTTGCATCGCCGGACTGGTATCAGGTCGATCGGTTTTGGTTTCTCCGGCGACTTCCGATTTCAGGTCGTCGAGAAGAGTTTAGCAAATTTGAATTCTGTTTTGACGCTTTGCACGCCCCGGTAAGTACGTTTATCAATGTCGAGTGTAGTTTCATTTGATGATCTGTGTGTTTCTTCTGCTTTGGTATATTGATTTGTTTTTGGTTCATGTCTCCCTAGTTAATACCTTTCCCGGAGAAGTATCGGTAGTACAAACTGCATTTTGTTTGGTGTTTGAGTGGCCAATTGTAGTTCTTGTTTTAATTTAAATGGCTGCTCTTTCGGATGACAATGTAGATTACCTGTTACAAAGTGACAAAGCTTGCTGGAACTTAAATACTATCTTTTCATTTAATTCGTAATCAGGCATTATATTACTTTGATTTGAACGAGTAGGAGTTCTTTTAAGGATGACATTCCTTAGAGGGACAGGGATGGGGAAGAATTTGTCTCTTGCAAAAATTTCGTGAAGATCCTTATCCCCGAGGATGGTGGGGATAGCTCATCTTGGCCTTGCTTGTGCCGTTGCCATCCCTATTGAATGAGTTAAGGTTATTCTCTACTGTTTTTTTGGCCAATATGTTATTCTCTACTTAGTACTGCAAAATCATCTCTTAACCAATGCAATGCTAGTTCAATGGGATGTCTTTTAATTCATCATGTCCTTGCTGTAACAATGGAGTAAAAGCAGTCTAACATACCATGACTGTGTAATGGTGAAACGGGTGTGGTTGGGGCTTGTGGATGTGGAGAATTTGTCCGCATTCTTTTCCGCACCACTTTTGAGTAGTGCCAGCACTTTTGGTTATGTTACTTTGACTTTATGGTGACTATTGACCCTGAAATGGTTGTGATTTCATTCCTTTTTTCACTTGATAGTTCACAAGATTGGATGATACTTAGACCTTGAAAAGTGTTTTGCTATGGTTTATTTATGATTAGTTATTGCTGTCCATGGTAGGTCTTTGAACTAAGCTTTGGTGTTTTTGTGAAGGCCTATGGCTTGCTAATTCATTGTTAGTGTTGTATAAGGCACTCCTAGTCCAGCACTAGGTGGTGGCCCATTGCCTCTC